TATATATATATATATATATACACACTCTTTACAGAAGAGTGTAGCTACTGTATATACACGGTAGCTATATCCACTATTCGCCACTTACTCTAATGTAATAAAATCTGAATATATTCTGATCAGAATATATATATATATATATATATGCATTATATATAAAGCATCTATTGACAGTATAAGGCTCCCGCAGCCTCTCAGCAGAAATCAAAACGCGTAACACTAAGAAACTCAGCATCCTGACGTAAAAATTCAAGTTTTTGGAAAGTTTTTATATTTAAAATACAGTTGGTTAGGCAACATCACACAACGTTTTCACCATTAAGACTGTTTAATAGTTCTATAAACAGTTCAATAAGCAAATACAATAATATTAGGTCACTTTCATTTTACGCAGAAACAGCGCATCCCACAGCAAACAGCCGATTCGTTGCTGATTGATTCCGTGTTTTGACGACTGTTTAATAGTTCTATAAACAGTTCAATAAGCAAATACAATCATATTAGGTCACTTACATTTTACGCGGAAACACAGCGCATCCCACAGCAAACAGCCGATTCGTTGCTGATTGATTCCGTGTTTTGAACGAATCGGTTGAGTCAAAGTTTCATTAGCCGTTTGAATGAAAGACTCAATGACTCACTCATTAAACACTCACTACTGGCACATACTGGCGTTTTAATTTCGTTGAAAAGTATCATTTCCGCCATCATTTCTTGTTTGTATATTCAAAAATATTTAAAATAGTCTCATAACATTATTTAATGCAGTTGTATTTTTCAGTGTCAATTATTTAATTTGATAAGGTATAGACAATCACATTATTATAATTGAATTTATAGATCAAATGTAAGAATTTGAAATGAAAGTATTAATGAGATTAGTGGGAAAATGCCCTCTATAAAGGTAAAACACACACACACACACACACACACACATATATATATATATATATATAAATAAGCTCGATACCATGCCCCCCCCACATAACAAATCCCAATTTAACCCATCTATAACAATTATCGGATGTTATTTTTATTAATAAAAAAATGCTTTCAGCATGTTTGAAATACCTTAAAGTGATGCTTTGCGTCCTTAAAACGTGAATATTTTAACTGAACAAATAAATATGTAAAACTTCCTGGTCCAGAGCAAAGTCATAAAGATCTGGTTGTGATTTTACTGTTTGGCCACTAGATGGTGTTGTGTTTCAACTTTTTAAAAACGATTAAATGTGCTTTACAATGTTGAATGTTATTCCTTTCTTGAATCAACAGGATTTATTTGTGAAGAGATTTCAAATCAGCACTTTATTTTTTTTTCTTAAATTGTTGGTATTAGCAGTGATGTTTTTAACCTCTTTCTCTTTTTAGCAAAGTACATCGGCTGTTATGTTGATGACACACAGAAACGGGCTCTTAGAGGGGTTTCCTTTTTTGACTACAAAAAAATGACTGTCTTCCGTTGCCAGGACAACTGCGCTGAGAGGTACGTCAATTGAAACCTTTTATCCCCATGTACATGATAAGGACTTTCTTTTGAATCATAGGCTATGGTTTATATACTCTGCTTAAGTCATCATAAACATGTAATTGCTCTCACCCTAGAGTTAATGACCCTTAACTGACAAACATAAACAATTTCACACTCATTACACTAATCTAATTCCCTTTACCCTTGATTAACTGAGAGGGCAGGGTTATCAGATATGCCGTTTCCTCTGATAGTCCTCTGATGTTTCATGTCACTAAGATTTGTGCTTTAACTATCATTTTCAGGATGTGTGCTCACAAATGTTTAAAAAATGTTTCCGTTTTTTTAACTAAAAGGGATTGTTCATCAAAAAAATAAAACATTAACTCGCCCACGTCTTTCCAAATCTGAGTTGGTTTCTTTTTCCTTGGAATACACAAGTAGAGATACAAAAGAATTGCACTGATTGCTCTTTTCTGTGGAATAACAATGAATCAGAACTGAAGCTTTTACATTTGAACAAGGGTGCATTTGCGTAAACATTATGAAAGTAAAGCTGGTCATTACGACTAAGTACTAAGGCATATGATAAAAACTGAAGAAACTGATTGAAACAGGAACTTAAATGTACAGGAACCTAAAGAAACTGATCAAAAAGTTAAGTCATTATTAACTGAACTTTTAAATTTGATCTTTTTAATGAATTGGTTGATCAGTGGTTCTCAACCTTTTTTGGCTCCAAAGCCCCCCATTGTCCAGATACATTTTCTGTACATTTCTGTAAATTAAAAAAAAAGAGCTTACCTATTTCAAATTAAATTAAATTTAGTTGTCGTGTTTTACTGGATTAGGATTAAAGATATGCATTAAAAAAAATATTGTACTCACAATTTCTACCTGATAATAACTAGGAAAATGTGTATTTATTATTAAAAAGTACTTATGGCGCTTGAAGATTTTATTAATTTATATTGTTTTCCAAGTCTAGAAATCTCACTTTCAAAATTCGGCTTCCTCGTATATCCAAGACCATGGAAATCCTGTTTCTTCAAAGAAAAAAAATTATAGTTGTTGAGGATGAGTGGAAATAAAGTATGCATATCTTGATTTACTTTTTTTTCTTAGCTTATTTTGAAGCTTGTTTTGTTGTAATTTAAGTCATTTTGAGGCTCCCTTGGAGGTTTGCTCCCCCATAGTGGGCTCTGGCCAGTGCCAGAGAACAACAAACATTCATCAATCAGACAAGATCAAGATCAACTCACTGATCCAGTTCCTGCAGTTAACTGCTCACTTGATATAGATTATCAGTAAATGTAGTGACTTTTGGGTTTGCTTCTCACCCAGTGCAATTGTATGTCCTCAAAAGTCTTGAAATGTCTTATGGTCTAATTTAATGATCATTTTATTCTGCATTTACATCCTTGTTGCATCACCATTCATTGTTATTTCATGAAAATAACAACCAACCAGTTTTTCCACAGTTAAAAAAAAGACATGCAGGTTTGGGGCAACATTAGGGTGAGAAAATAAATTTTCATGTTTGGGTGAACTATTAATGTTGCTTTTCACTTTCATTCCTGTTAGCATTCTTGTTTACCCTCTCTTTATTCAGTTCCTCACCCCTACATGTTTCCATTGATTCTTATCATCAGTCTGTGACTTGGAAAACCCACAGAAAAGAGAGAGAGGCAGGAAAAAGGGTTGAGGGATTTTGGCGTCAGGACTGCTTTAAAGGAAGTAGTGCAAATTACAGAAAGAGCGACTTGAGAGAGACAGCCAACATCTGTTTGTACTCAATGTTGTGCTCCCACTCTCAGCTTTCAAGAATCCTGCCACACATATTGAGAAAATTAGGAGAAGACGCAGCCTGCATAGGGATGAGCCAGAAGAGTCTGAAGAAAGAATCCTTATGCTGTCCTTTGATAAAAAAATCATGCATGTAAAATTGCCCTCATTCATCTTGTTTCAATGGACAGCTCTGTGTTATGGACAACAGTTCTCTGAAGCTTTTAAACCAGAATGCCAGCTTGACACAGTTCTGACCTTTTAAAAATGTGAAAATAAGAGCAGTGGAGAGGAGGGGGGGGTCGAGGACTGGAGAGCACAGTAACTCTACAGTCCAGCCAGATGTTTTAGATTTAACAGCAAAACCTCAAACGAATGCACAGTGCAATAAGTCATAAGTTCCCAGAAAAAATTATACTCAAGTAAAGTACAGATACTCAAAAAGTTTACTTAAGTAAATGTACTTAGTTACTGTCCGTCTCTGGATTTGTGAAACCATGACATATTAAAGGCTAGGAAACTAAACTTTTCACCTAGTGCATCAGCTGAATCGAAACTGATTTCTTAAGCAAAACAGTGCAACTGTTAACGTGTGAAAATAAGAGCGGTGGAGAGGAGGGGGGGTCGAGGACTGGAGAGCACAGTAACTCTACAGTCCAGCCAGATGTTTTAGAGCTCTGGCTGGACTGCTCTGAATTTGAGGAAAGGAAAATTGCTGGTCAGGTCAAGTGTCAGAACAATAAAACCCAGTGGCGTAGGCAGAATTTAATTTTTGGTTGGGCCTGGCCAAAAGTGAGCGGGAACTAGTAACTAAACGACAGAGTCAGACTACCATGTCTCTGTCTCTGTCATGAATGTGCCCATTGTCAACATAACCTAAAATCATTCACAATAGCCCCAATCCCTAAATAATTTTGCAGATTACAATAGGCCACTCGAACTATAAAGTTAGAAGCTGTGTACAGTAGAAAGATTCTCTCACTAATGTACGTCTGCTCAACTAATATGAATACAGACGTGAACTTGTATCAGTGGCACTTAAGTCATAGAATATCGACATACAAGAGAACTATAGCTACAGCCTGTCCACATACAAAACCTGAGTAGCAGTTAGAACAAAAAAATTAAATACTGCTTTGTTTATCCCGAAACAGAAGCCATTTAAAATTTTATTTGTATATTTTAATTTTCATTTTATCATTCTACAGTAAATGTTCAAAGATTTAAGGCACTGTATTTCCTCATCATATTTCCTCAAATATATTAGATATAATTAAAGTGTATAAAATTATTTTATTCAGAAATGTCATGTTTTTTTTTTTTTTATTCGTTCATTCATTATTGAAATTAATAGGCCTACATATTCAGAAACAGGTGCAGTTAGTCGTCTGCGTCAGTCGTAAATATAAAAATAATCTTTGTGAGGACACCTGGCAACATTCTTTGCAAAATTCTTTAGACACCAAACACTAAACGACTTTAAACACCAACTGAAAACACTGGATTAGCCAAAATACATTCATAATCAGACTGAGAGTAGTGTGTTCCCGGCTCTACAGAATGAAGTGGATCAGCCTGCGCTTTGGACTGAAAAGTTTTACTGTTACTTGTGGGCTGATGGACGGGTTCTCTCCTGCGTCGGTGCAAGTTTTTAAGTCAAGTTTTTACAGAACATTTTCTATCACACACCTGCAAATTATAGTCTAACTGACGGGGTGAACAAACACGAATTCACAGATGCGACATGCCAGAGACAGCATACAGCTGTCTGTAATGTGTCACAACACAGCTGTCAATCAAACTCATTAAGAATTATGCAAAAACACATTTTAGTATTTTAGATGTTATAATAGTTTTGTAATTGTGTTCAAATAGATTACGCAACAATTATTTAACAAATATTATATTTGTATAATAAACTGGAGGGGCCTATTCATCATAGTGGAATGATGCCCGTCAGGCCCCTCTGCTGGCTACGCCCCTGAATAAACCACATGCTTTCTGCCGTTTACAAGATCTGTTTCTACATGCAAGCCAATGTGCACCACAAAAGCCCTCAGTATAAAGGAAACGTATTACACTATTCCTTGAAAAACCTGTTATTAAGTGACTTGTTCATGTGACAAATGTGACAGTTCATGAAACATGAAACACCCCTTGTGCACATACAACTTTTTAGTTACTACCCCAGATACTTAACTACATCATGACCCAGTGAATATAAATGCAGTAATGCTATTTTTGTCAAAACAATGCCTAAACTAATTTATCCCTGACCTCCCATGGTTTTTTATGCTTATTTGTTAATTGTTATTGTTTAAAGTGTAATGTCTGGTATCTGTTTTTTTTTCTCAATTTCTGTCACCGATGGAGTTTTGGTTCCTTGCCACTGTCACCTTTGGCTTGCATAGTTGGGGACATTTAACTGATTGTACTGACACTATTGGAAGAGAGCTGAACTGGATGATGACATCACTGAGTCATCAGTGAACTGACTTTAGCAGGAAAAATGACTCTTTTTAATTTTCTTCTTGCATTACTGTAAAGCCGCTTTGACACAATCAGTATTGTATGACGTGCTAAACAAATCGAATACAATTTTTTCCCCCCTCATATTGTGTCCAGTCATTTTGACCTGGAGAGGATTTTCAAATGTTATCGCATTTGACTAAAACCTATTGACTTTGCTCACACAAGGTATAACAACTTCACATAATGTTTGTACCCTTTTCCCTATCAAAAAATTACTGGCCTACAAAAAAATTGCTAATAAATTTCTCATTATGCCATATTATTACCAAATGTTTAATTTTGGAACCGATTGATTGCAGGCCTTATTGATCTGAGCTTCTGCACCTCAGTTTTGAGTGAATATTGCCAATATTGTGTTCTGGTTTGTATGCGCCCAGAAAAGTCTATTGTACAGTTTCTATGATCTCTTTCTGTTTGTGCATTTTAAAACAATTTTTGCTTGTATTTTTGCACATTTTGTGCATATTTTGGGCACTTTTATTAACTGTGATGGTGTAGAGAAGTATCAGTGTTGGGAACAGGATGACTAACAGGGCTTCATATCGCACTTCTTCATAAGAATCATAGCTTAGCATGTCGGATCACTGGCAGGCCACTGAATGAATAATGTTTTCTCTCTGTCTTGTGTTATTAGGGGTTATCTCTATGCGGGTCTGGAGTTTGGAGCCGAGTGCTACTGTGGCCATAAGATTCAGGCACCCAACGTGTCAGAGAGTGAATGTAATATGGAGTGTAAAGGGGAGAAGAGTAACCTCTGTGGAGGACCTAAACGACTGTCCATATATAGACTGGAGCTAAGCCAGGAGTCGGCCCGCAGATGTGAGTATCCTGACACACACACACACACACACACACACACACTTGTCTTACACTCATGCTTCTGCAAGCTCACACTTGCATGTATCTGTCAATCTCAAAAGCGTAATGGAACACATGACTAATTTCTTACAGGAAACTGGGTAAGCTTTTATGTAAGGTTTCTTTTGTTAATATTAACTAGTTCAGTTGACATGAACTAACAATGAACAATACTTCTGCTGCATTTATTAATCTTAAAGTTAATTTCAACATTTATTAATCCACTTTTAATTTAAAAGGTTACATTTGGTTACATTTATTTAATGCACTGTGAACTAACATGAACAAAAAATGATCAATTGTATTTTTCATATAATTAACAAAGATTAATAAATGCTGTAAAAAAAATATTGTCCTAATGTTAACAAATGAGACCTTAATGTTAAGTGTTAACAGAAAGTCTTGTTTATCTTTAAGCTGTTTTTATAATCCAAGCATGGTAACAAGAGCGTAGCACAGGGCAAATGGCTCGCCAGTTTCAAGCTCTCGGGGGAGTGATTGTTTTTATAATGATTTCTATTGTCTTCTAGTGATTGTGGGAAAAATCTATCACTTTGTTTGTTTGTTTGTTTTTCCTATCTCAATCATTTGTGTTTATCTATTGTAGCTTTGAAAACTTTTTCCAGTATTGTTTAGCACCTTCTCGCAACATCCATTTTTATAATAAACTATAAATAAAATAAAATTAATATCCATTTCCTGATCTTTATGGCACATCCTTCACCCTTTTCCTCATGTCTCATGTTTCCTTTATTGATAAAAAAAATATCACAGGCAGAAACTTGTGACATTCCACCCTGTGTGTCCTGAATAAGCACTTTTCTCATGTGACAGGATGTGTATGTGCGTATGTGATAAACACTGCAAGCGAAAACAGTAGTTGTGCAAGAACAACTTAGCCTTTGATAAAACCATTGCGGGCCCAAGGATTTCTTAAATTAATTGATAAAAGACAATTTCCATTTTTTTTAATCAGTCAGTCAAAAAACATTTACAAAACAGTAGCTGGTGAGGTTTTCACAGATCAAGATATATGTGTAGTTGTTTTTTGTCAAAAATTCATATTTATTTTGCGTTTTAGATGGGAGTGCCATCTTCAAGGGATGTTTTAAGAGGCCAGACAACGTGACCCTGGCGCTTCCTGCTAGTGCCGTTATTAAAAACATGTCAGTGGACAAGTGTGTAGACATGTGCACAGAGAAAGTGAGTGTGCATGCATGATCTGCGTCTGGTATCCCTCATATTACTGTGTTTATAGTCTATCCTATATGATCTCTTCCTTTGTCTGTCATAGGAATTCTCTCTGGCAGCCTTGGCTGGTGAAAAATGTCACTGTGGCTTTCCTACTCCTCTCTTCACCCTGCATGACCATGAGGATGAGGAGCTGTGTCTCCAGCGCTGTGCAGGAGAAGACTTCGAGAGCTGTGGAAACATTGACTTCTTTGTAGTGTACCAGACCCAAGTGCAAGGTAACATTAGCTTGTTTGGATCAAAACAATGTGCTCAGGCCAATGCACAGGCAGCCCACATGCACAATATTTTTCCTTCTTTAGGACAACAAACATGTCAGGTCACTATAGAAGCACGAAATATAGCCCAGGTTGTGCTGCTTAAGCACATTCAGTCTTCACAGTGTTTCAAATGTGTGATGAGCTCTATGTGAGCTCTTGTGGCTGCTTATCATGGTTGACCCTCACGTTTGCTAAATTCATACTTCCTCTACACTTCCTCCGAGTTTGCTGTCAAAGTAAGTAAACCATTAGCTTTTTTTTGCTTTGGTTTCAACAGTGGTCAAAGTGCCTAATGATTATTGCAACAAAAAAAAAGACAACATTTTGTCTTAGAATTCTGTCTTGACTAACATTATCTGTGTAAATTAATGAACACAAAGTCACAAGGACAACAAAGATTTACAGCTTTACAGGTTATTTACAGCTTTACACAGATAAGGTTAGTAAACAAATTTATCGCACTGTAACTGTTAAAGGAACACTCCACTATTTTTGAAAATAGGCTCATTTTCCAACTCCCCTAGAGTTAAACTTTGCTGCTGTACCATGGGTGCAGCAGGCGTAATATCATTGCGCCTGCTGCACCTACGGTACAGCAGCAAAGTTCCTTGATTATTACGCTGGAATAAGAGTATAGTTCCTAGCCATATCGGCCTAGAAAATTGGTCTTAGTACACGATGTAAGTACAGAAGAGTCAAGTTTTAAATAGGAAAAATATAGAAACTCTTTGGTCGTTTTTGAGCGAGATGCTAACGGTCTAATCAGATTCAGTTATCTATGCTAAGCTACAGCTAAAAGTGCTACCGCCAGACCCGGAGATCGGCTGAATGGATTCGAATACGGTAAAACTCAACTGTTTATCTCTAGGGGAGTTGGAAAATGAGCCTATTTTCAAAAATAGTGGAGTGTTCCTTTAACACGCATCATCTCATTTCCTCTTCAGTCTGATAGTCATTCATTCTGTGGTGCAAATTATGAATGGTCATCATGTACTGCTTCAAACCGAATTTGAAATGCAAGACAACAACATTTGAAAAGACTGAATCAGATTGTTTTCAAGAGCAGTTTCTAAAATCAACTTGTCTCACGTCATCAAAATAGCAGCATATGTTCATGGCGATATGTGCATCATAAGCCTTCCCTCTGTTTATCACACCGCTCAAACCTAATTGAGACATTTTACCTGTCTTTTAAGGAATGCAGAGATTCTTTGATTTGAAGACTTATTAAAATTTTTGCATATTGTAACGGTTTTGTATACCTATTTAAACTTTATGTAAGTTATCTGTTGTTTTATATTAGGCATAGCCTGCCTTATAGCATGGTGTATTTTTATTTGTTTTGTTAATAAAAGTTCTATGTTTTATATGTAGGCTAAAGTAAGTTTGACATATTTTGTTGTTGCATTCAAGCAATTGACGCCGAACTGCCGCTAATTCGACGCGGCGCTTTTAAGCTATTTAAAAGCGAAGGAAAGCAAGGAAAAGAGGGGAAATTCAAACAAACTAAAAACGAACAATTGCTTTACGCCGAATTGCCACTATTTGAAAGTGAAAGTAAAATGCGCACGCAGCTTTGAAGGAAAGCTAGGAAAAGAGGGAACGCCCCCGGCCCCACGGTGATACCGGTATTACCGTGTTGTCACACGTCGATTAACCGGTGGGAAAATTTCCTCACCGTCACAACCCTAGTAGAAGGTGAGCAGGAGAAAAGATAACCACTCTGCAGACTTTAGTTTCTCTTCCATTTATTTTCCATCTTTCTGTTCGTGACCTAAGTTGAATGTTTATTTGTATACTTTTACTCACTCAAACCCCTTTGTATGTGGATGAGTGGGATGACACTTAAGTCAATTTAATAAACCTGGAGGAAATACACCAGCTCTTGTCTCTCATGCATCTTTTCCTCCGACGGCACACATTTGATTTCTATCTCTGGGCAATTGAACATTTCTACTCAGCGGTTACAAAATGTCAGCTTTGAGGTCAGAAGTATATATGCTAATATACTTGCTTCTCAATCAGTTTCATGGAAACTTTAATGAAACTTAAGGATTTTTTCACCTCAGTATCTTATGTTTGGTCTGATATGTGTTCTTCATTTCTACAGATAATCGTTGTTTGGACCGGCGCTTTTTGCCCTCTCGAACCAGTGGCACTGTGGCACTTGCTAGTTTCCCAGGCGCAGGGAATACATGGGCCCGTCACCTTATTGAACTGGCTACGGGTTGGGAGCTACTGAGCTACTACTTTGATGGCTCACTGTACAACAAAGGTTAACTTAACTTTTTGTTTTCCATAAGGCCATCTTTTTAATCTCTTGCTTGCTGATGGTCTTCCTCTCTCTTTGATTTCTCTGCATGTGCAGGTTTTAAAGGGGAGAGAGATCACTGGCGCAGTGGTAGAACCATATGTATCAAGACCCATGAGAGCGGCAGGAAGGAGATTGAGGCCTTTGATGCCAGCATTCTCATGATCCGGAACCCTTATAAAGCCCTCATGGCAGAATTTAACCGAAAGTATGGTGGCCATATTGGATTTGCCTCTCAAGCTCATTGGAGGGGGACAGGTGAGAGATGAAAGCTTGTTCTAAAGCCTTGTGATTACTCTACTTAGTGCGCAATACATACAGCAGTACTTGCATAAAGCGCATAAGAAATGTGCATGTTATTGCCTCTGTTAAAGAAATAGTTTAGCCAAAATGAAAGTTTACTGAAAATGTACTCAGGCCATCCAAGATGTAGATGAGTTTGTTTCTTCATCAGAACAGATTTGGAGAAATGTAGCATTATATCACTTGCTTGCCAATGGATCCTCTGCAGTGAATGGGTGCCGTCAGAATGAGAGTCCAAACAGCTGATCAAAACATCACAATGATTTACAAGTAATCCACACGACTCTAGTCTACCAATTAATGTCTTGTGATGTGAAAAGCTGTGTCTTTGTAAGAAACAAATCTATCATTAAGGTGTATTAGGTTTAAATAATGTCTTCTGGCCAAAATTCATAATAATGCATAATAATTAATTATAGTTATAAATTATATAACTTAATAATAATAAAAATAAATCATAATAATGAATAATAATAATAATAATGTCCTTTTGTATAAAACTGTTTTGGACTGTTTTCACTTGTAAACAGTGCTTGATCTGTGCATATTTTTCTCCTGATTCAGATGAGATGACTTTTCACTGGAGAAAGCAATATTATGCATAGAGGAATATTTTAGCTGGAAACAATGGTTTGACGTTAAAAACGTCTTAATGTATTTGTTTATTACAAACACACAGCTTTTCCCTTCACTGGAGTCGTGTGGATTACTCGTGGGTTATTGTGATCCACTGTTTGGACTCTCATTCTGACGGCACCCATTCAATGCAGAGGATCCATTGGTGAGCATGTGATGTGATGCTAAATTTCTGTAAATCTATTCCGATGAAGAAAGAAATTCGTCAACACCTTGAATGGCCTGAGAGTGAGTACATTTTCAGCAAATTTTCATTTTTGGGCAAACTATTCCTTTAACTATACTGATATGTTTTCCCTATTACAATTCGTCCAGCTCCACTTTCATATACACACTCTGGTTTTACATTATATGACATTATTTTTTTTGTCTTCACTCACCTCATCATCACAATATTATCTGTATCTAAGGCCAGTTTGGTAGGCTAACAGCCCAGTGTTTATAATCAGGCTAAATGTTTAAAAGAACATCTGTTTTGTTCTTGATGTTGTCATTAGTCTGTGTTAAACTTAGTTGCTGTACTGCAGTCAAGAGTGTGCGCTTATCCGACACGAAAGCCGTGATTGTTTTTTAATGTGGTTTTGTTGAACCTTTCCCCTTTTAACATTGTATGAGAAACATCCTTAAGACTAATGGACATTTACATTTTGAATAGTTAGTGGTTCCAACCATTAAACCAAAACATATTTTACTTTCAGTTAATGTAATTTAATTTTACTAAGATGTTGTTGCATTTATCATAAGTTTGTAAACTATGGTAGTAGTCAGTAAATAGATTGTGCAAAGTTGTCTTTACCCCAATGAAGTCCATTTTTAAGCAATGTTTCCCTCTTGTTCTGCTTCTTTACAATATTTTTTTCCCACGGAGAAGCAGGTGCTTGTGACATTTTGGTGTCTTATATATTTTTTTTAATTAGCATCTTTGTGTTTTTGTTTCATTTTTGATCATTTCTATGAAGTTATCTGTGTTTTTAACACATTTTAACATTTAACACTTCATGTTCCTCAGTTATTGTTTCACTGTTCTTGTTGCCGTGCCAACATGCTTATTAATTCTTTCTGATGCGTCACACTAACCAAAACGCAGAAGCATCTAAAAAAAATCAGCATTTTTTGCTTTTTCCTTTTGTAGTCCATTCTTTTTACATCCTCCAACATCATGATTATGATCATTTCATTCAATTTGCGGGAAAAGTCATTAGCTCTTCATTAGCTATTGTATTGTTTTCTTTCTCTCCACTGATGAGAATCAGCAGAAAATTACATTCTATTACTTGAATACAAATAAGTGCATCACTTCGGAGTATGATTGAGTTCTGCCTCTTCATTTCAGAAAAGTGCTGTCACTGATTAAAAATATACTTTTGCAGCTCCACTGTTGCAGCCTTTACAAAAACGCCATGTTGTTTTTGATACATTTGTCTGGTATGTCTGGTACATTTGTGCAGTGCTGTTACACATCTGCAGATATGTGTCAAGTTTTTCTAATGCACTAAATCTTAGGCACTATGGCACAGCATGTTCCTACAAGATGTTATTGTTGAAGAAGTTCAACTCTTTCATTCTCTCTCAATCAGAGTGGCCAGAGTTTGTGAAGAACTATGCTCCATGGTGGGCATCCCACACACTAGACTGGCTGAAATATGGGAAGAAAGTTCAAGTGGTACACTTTGAGGATTTAAAACGGGACCTTTTCTCTCGGTTAAAAGGCATGATCATCTTTCTGGGTCTGGAAGTCTCAGAGGACCGCCTGCTGTGTGTGGAAGGACAGAAAGATGGGAACTTCAAACGCTCTGGGCTGAGGAAGCTTGAATATGACCCTTATACGGCAGAGATGCGTGCCACCATTGACGGGCTAATTAGGACTGTGGACACAGCACTCAGAAAGAGAAACCTGTCTGGTGTACCTGAGGACTACAGGCCCAGATGATACTCCTCTCTTCACTTATGCTTTTTTTCACACCACACTCCCCCCCCCCCCCCCCCCCCCCCCTCCCCCCCCCACCCCCCAGCTATACCCATTTTTTTCCTAGAATATGAAATTGATTATCATCATTTTCCTTGTTTGCTTTCAGTTTTAAGAACGGTGTGTATTGTGAAACTGCTAAAAAACTGTTCTTTCTTTTCATTAATAATCTACACTGTATAGTAAGACATGGGCTTGTGCAACAATTTGGCTTTGAGTTTAATCACCATGGATCCATCTTCCTTATGCCAGTATAAGTGTGTGGTAACTACAAATTCAGTTCAGTCATTAAGAGAAATGACTGTTCACACTTCTAATGAAAGTGTCTATTGCCATCAAGACATCCGGGACAGCTGTTTAGACACTACTGGACTCCCTTTTAAACACTTCAGCCTCATTGGGAATATATGGACAGCGATTTCATTTTTAACATCTGAACCCCAGCTTCCTGTTACCACAAATATCTGGAAATTGCCTTCAGATGTTATGATGCTTCTTAAATCAGTGATCAGTGATTACTTATGATCAGTGAAATAGTTATATGGGCAACAAAAATTCTCAAGATATACCACGTGTATTAGATAAATGCATGGGCAACTCGAAAACACGTGGTCTGGTACTTGCCTTCAGTGATTTGCAGGCAAATTGCAGCCCTTATTGAGTTATCGATTTAAATGAAAGCAACCAAGTTCTTCTGTTTTGTGTTTAGAGCACTTTTAAGTTGAGACTGTTTCATCAAGTTAACTTTTTTTCTTACTGAGGTTTTAAGGTGTATTTGCAGTGGATGATAAAAAGAAGGGGGGAAAAACATTTCATAGTGTGCTCACAAAGTAAAAGAAATGGGGGCTTCTTGTAAATTGCTTACAATGACATTGACTGACCCTTTAGAATGAGTTTTTTTTTTTTTACCCCTTTTCTCAATCACAATTATTTTAATCTGTTAAGGGGATACTGAAGTTTACCCCAAAATGAAAATTCATTCAGTTATGTTTTTGACAGACATGGTCTTTAACACAGCTCTTACATGAGGAGTTGTGTATCAATATTTGTAATCATGTGAGGATGAGTAAATTATGACAATTTTCATTTTTGGATGAACGATGCTTTTATGCAAAAAAAACCTTCTTCACTAATTTATGTCCCAGGTTAGACTTTGAGAGTAGTTGCACTGCGTACTGTGTGAGGTGCATCCCCACAAAATCAAATAATTCCTTTCAAAATATCATTAGATGTCAGGTTTTGGATGCAATTATAAACTTGTTCCCTGCAGAAATGTTCAGAATATTTATTTTTGTTTTTAGTGTTTTAATTGCAGGAGTTTTTATTCAAAACAGCAAATCAGCTTTATAATTTATAAAATAATCTTGAAGGGGTGAAGCAATGTGCAAAAGAGACAAAAAGCACCTTGCGGGTAAATTTTTGCTTGTCAGCTAGAGACCTAACAAATATCATTCAATATATGTAAATCCTCATATATATTTTTGTAATGCTCACAGGGAGAATGACTTTAAAGGACAAATTGTCACCTATATTTTTGAAAAGGCTTTTAAATTTGAGCATTACATGCTTTTCATTTCGAAAAGGAACAAACTGAAGTGGTTTTCTGAATGTATTTTGTATGGAGTGAATGCACGGAATTTCTACCAAATAATTATGGAAATCAAAGAATACATTGCCAGCAATGTAAAGGAAATTAAATTATTGCTACAAGATTTTTATTAGAATTGTAAGCTGAGAGTGTGAGTATGAGGAAACGTTTTGCACTTTGGATGATGTGTCGGATGTCCTGATTAATAAATTGTTAAGCCCCAAATTCTCAGAGGCCCAACGTTGATTTATGTATGTAGTTGCATAGTTTTATATTTATTTATTTAGATTTTATGTGTGCATTTGATGAAATTGTTGGTTTTCATGGAAATGCTTTGGGTCTACCAATTTGCCCAACCAATGGCAGAAGTGTAGAGTGTTTGGGGAAAAGAAAAAAAAAAAAACATTATTTATGCAATTGTATTAGTTGCTAATGCTGTAAAAATTGTGCACTTCACCTACCTTTAAATCGCTCTTTACAGCTCTATTTACATTGTATTTTAAATGCTGGTTATTTTGCAACTTCCTAGAATCAGAGTTAATGGGTTCCAGGAAATAGCACAAAGAAACAAGTTTCCAGGCTGCAACGCCTTTCTGAGGACAAACATACTTTCTGAAACATTGCATCAAATCATGCATATTCAAAAGTCTTAGGTTAGTCCAAGTTTTACAGCTACTTGGAAACTCATGGTAGGATTTATTTCCAAACACTAGTCAGTCTGTTTTACTTGGCAGTTATAAAATGAACCGCTGCTGTACACTAAATGGTCAAAACCAATTCAAGACTGTTTTGTGGATCGTTTTGACTGGTCATTTATCAAAATGACACAGAAACAACAAATGCATGCCAAGGCAACTAGGTTTTAAACTATTGGCTTAGATTTTAACATTTTATCACATTGCAACCATTTGAGTTGCAGCCTGCAGCCATGCATCTGACTAATTTATTGTTAGGAAGTGTTTTTTTTACATGAAAATCCAAATCAGTTCTATAAATCTATGAATATGAAATAAAGCGTAAATTACTAAATGCATGATGCATATTTATTTTTGTAATGCTTATAAAGCAGGAAGTATTGAAAGATAGGAAGTATCAAATATTTACCATTTCAAAAACTAATAATGCTGAAGTGTCTTTCGAATGTGTTGTGTACGGATTTAATTTAGGCATATTAAATAATTAAGAGAATTACCAGCACTTAAAGAAACCAATAAAGATTTTTATTATATATTTTTATTCATATGTTACCAAAACAAAGAGAGAGAGATGTGGAGCGTGACAACACTTGTTGATCTTGCCCAAATTATATTTAATACATTCAGTACATTCTTTTATACCCCCCACCCCATATATTTATGTATATGTGTTCATCAGAATCATGTGTTAAACATGCACAAATGATAAGATAAAAACAGTAAATATGTAATAGCTGTCATCAAGAAATCATTAAGTAAAGTGGCATTTTAATTTACAATGACTTGTAAAGTAGCTTTTATTGAACCTCTATTTACATTTATTCTTTTTTTTTTCTTTAGCTTGTAAAATCTATTTGTAAATTTCCAAACTCAAACATGCAACAGACTAAACAATTGCATTACTTGTTAATGCTGTCGCATTACTTGTTAATAATGTCGTTTCTATAGGCCGGGTCACACTTGGAAGAGAATAAAGAGAAATATCTTTAATTTCAGACAGCAGTGGAAAGTCTGTTATCCACAGAATTGGTAATTGAAGTTGCTCTGAAAGCACTTCGGGTCTCTTCATCAATGGCGCTCTCAATCTTCGAAAGAAAGGAATAGCATTTCTTCTTTAAGTCCTTGGCCATGAATGCATAGAGGAACGGGTTTAGAAAGCTGTTTGCACTGGCGAGGGTAGCAGATACTTTTTGAGCTGTGTAAAAGGCAGAGTTGTGCTCAGATCTGTCTAACTCTAAAACAGAAACTATCTGAAATGGCAACCAACAGATGAAAAAAGTTGCGATCAGTAATGCCATGATCTTGTAGGGCTTGGTGGATTTGGACATTTGGTTTGCTCTAAGTTTACGGATCAGGATGGCGTAACAGGTGAAAATGGTCAGGAATGGAATCAAAAACCCAAAAGTAAAGCGCATGAACACGACGGTTTTGTGGTGATCCTCATATTTGCTGTAGCATTCTTCTGTTGATTCATTTTGAATCTCTCTGAATTTGGCAGATGGAATGCTAAGCAAAGAAGACACAAACCAAGCCAACACAACAACTAAAGAAGCTTTCTGTACAGTGCGTTGATTCTGGGCCCAGACGGGAAACTTGACGGTGATGCAGCGATCCACACTTATGATGACCAGGATGAAAATGCTGCTGTACATATTGAGGGTCATAACAAAAGCGTTGAACTTGCACAGGAAGAGCCCAAAGATCCAGCTGTTCTTAACTATGTTGTCAATGGTGAAAGGAAGAGTAGCACAGAAAATGAAGTCAGACAAAGCCAGACTCAGGTACCAAGTGGTGTTCACTGACTTCTTCATCTTAAAACCAGTAATCCAGATCACTGCACCATTTCCAGTGATGCCAAGAAGGAATATGATCACATTAAAGATCACTGTGATTACACATGCTGCTTCCCTGCAGTATCCAGGATGTAAGTCTGTCACATGGCTGTCTTTAGTGAGCGCTTGTAAAATATCATCATAATTGGGATGTACAGTTGAAGTCATTGTGACTTCTATTATAACGGAATAGGAAGCAGAATTCTGTAACAAAAACAACAAACAATTTATCCAACTACATTTAAAGTGTAGTCATTTTGCATATTTTTAAAATGACTAAAGTGGCTGTGCAAAAACATGGTACTATTACCACACAATCAATGCAGAAAGTCTCTGATTCAACTGCCTTTCCTATAATTTCCATCAAGTTATTTGAGATATTAAAATGAGTTTTCAGCACATTGCAGATTTTGTTTTTTGTTTTGTTTTTGTTTTGTTTTGTTTTGTTTTCTAGAGTTAACCAATAGATCATTTTCATTGGCAGTCTCTTGGCGGGTCACTATTTAAAATATAACAACAAATTCTGCATGATGCATACAATATATTTCTGATCAGTCCTTTTCTGACATGCAGAACTGTCAGAAAAAGCCAGTAAAAAGCACAATGCTAGCAGAATTCTCCCATAGCTTCCCTTTTTTTCATGTAAACTGCTTACATCCTTTCTGATTATACTTTTGACCATAAATGATATTTGATGAGTTCCATGTATCCCTGTTTGTATGAGGGAAATTGCCTAATTTGTTACTTAAAAGCTATTTCGAGGTTTAAACCACACAGAACAGAACAATTTACACAAGTGGCATGTTATTCGCATTTGAATCTTAAGTGCAATTTTAAGTGTAACTTCATGACTGCTATGTTTGTTAAGTTAGTAACATTTCTCATTTTGTATTGTATCTGATATACTGCCTGTAAAAGTGGTTGCAATCCTAATTTGGAAAATATCTTGAGTTGATTCTATTGAAACATAGAATTGTTAATCACATGCATCTTAATTCTTTTGCTGCTCTGTCTGTAAAATTAAACCGAAAAAAATTGTTCACTGTATGAACTATACACATCTTTGATGCACTGGTTCTGATTACATCTAAAGTTAACTTACCTCACAAAGTAAGCCACGCAGTGCTTCAGAAATCAACTTCTGCTGCTGGGTTGTTTGCTGATAAGTGCATACTGAGCTATTGGCCAAACATTTTAACACCTAGTTCCTCTGTACAATGCAAACAAATTTCTGAGAACTGAGAGTGTCAATGGCCACACTTAACAAGAACCCTATTCAAAACTGATCTGTTTATCTGATAGTTAGCGATGGGCTGGTTTGAGATTAAAAACCGAGAATATAGCACCATTGCAGTGAGCTGTCCAATATACATCTCTACCGCCTTTACCATTGTGGGAGGATGCTGAAGTGTGTTATGCTGTGAAGCTCATGGTACCATAATTGCAGTCAAAACAATAATGTTTATTAGTCACAGAGAATTTCAAAAGTATTCCGAACTGTACAAGATCAGTACAAGTGGTTATGAAGATTAAAGAATGCTAGCTTACATCAGGAAACCATTTGCATTGTTCATAATGATAGTTTGATTTACTTGCTATAAAAATTAAGATTGTAAATCACTTAAAATTTATTAAAATTTTAAAAAAATATACTAATTGCAAAGCTGCAAATGAAGGCTTTGACAAGTAAAAAACTGTGGCAGACAAGTAAATAGTGGATTTAGAAGTCAAAATACTTTTATTTCCTTATCATTGAACATAAACATATGACTTTAGAGGTTGTTCACACAGGACAGGTTTTCAACATTCAACTTATTTTTGGTCTTTGTACATATAAAATGTTTTTGGTCAGATGTTTTTGGTTATTGCATCACATCTCTGTTGCATCTTGTACACTGTTTTACGATGCAGTATTAAAAGTCAAGATAAAAGTAGTTTTAAATGTGTCTTTTTGCTGCACTTAAGCAGTTTTGAATGCAACAATGCATCCGGTAAAACAGAATCAATTTAGGTGGCATTTCAAGCTTAAATTGCTCAGATCAGAGATGCCCAAAACGGATGTGACCTTAATGGGAGTTAAAAATATATATGTGATTTATTAAAAAAAGGACTACATTTCAATATAGATTAATATAATGCAACATTTACTTTCAGCCTTTTTACTTTTCATTTACGTTTTGGCTCAGATATTTCATTTAAAAAAAATGTTGCAATTTTCATCCAGAAGTAGCTAGTAAATTTTACAAATAATTACAAAGGAAATGCAAGTAACACATTGAATTCAACATGAAATTTTGAAGTAGAAAGACATATAGTATTTTCTTGTAAAACATAATTCAATAATCTTTCTTTTTCTATTTACAACTTCTATTTTTTTTAACTGTAGGAAAATTCCTTATGGAATTTACAGTCAGGAGGCACATTTAACTGTGTTATTTTAGTTTAGTTTAGTTTAAAATGAATCATACTAAACGAATGCATTAAATTGACAGCCTGAAAAAAAATATTACTTTCAGTTTATTCTTCAGATATGAGTGGACGCCCTGGCATCCACTGAGCTGGAGCGAGACAGGTAGCGACTGATCGTTCGGCCGTCTTCTCCAATAGCACTCTCAATCTTTGATAAGATGGAGCTCCTGAACTTCTTCCTGAAGTCATTGCCCATGAAAACGTACAAAACGGGGTTTAGGAAGCTGTTTGTGGCAGCAACAGTGGTGCCAATTTTCAGTCCGTGAGAAATGACCTCAGCGTGGAAGGTTTTGTTTTGTTCGATTAGCACAAATGTGTGGTAGGGCAGCCAGCACAGGAAGAAGGTCAGAATGAGAGCCGTCATGATCTTAAATGGTTTGTTGGACTTTGCCATCTGGGTGGCTCTCAGTCGGAGGATGATGATGGTATAACAAACAATGATGAGGATGAAAGGGATCACAAATCCAAAAACAAAGCGGCTCATGGCTATGATTTCATGGCTGTACTGGCTGGATGTGTAGCTGTTAATGCACCGGTTTGTGCCCAGGTGATTCTGGACATCACGGTATATGATAGATGGGATACTTAATGCTGTAGAGATGATCCATGCGATTACGATTAGTACAGATGCTTTTCCAGTAGTGCGGTGATTCTGTGCCCAAACTGGAAACATGACGGCGACGCAGCGGTCCACACTGATGATGACGAGGAGGAAGATGCTGCTGAACATGTTGAGGAACATGATGAAGGATGTGAACTTGCACATGAAGAGGCCGAAGATCCATTCCGATGTGACGCTGTAGGCAATGTTAAAAGGCAAACAGGCACAGAATATGAAGTCAGATACAGCCAGACTCAGGTACCAGGTAGTATTGACTGACTTCTTCATGCCTAACCCTGCAATCCAGATAACCACACCATTTCCTCCAAGACCCAGCAAACAGATGATCACGTTGATCACCAGCAACAACAGGCAAAGGACCTGAGTGAAACACGTGGTGGTGTGGACGTGGAAAAAAACTTCTTCATAAGTTAAATTATCGGAGGAGGTGAAATTATCATAATTCATATAATTATAGTCAAAAACAAAATCTGCTGATTCCATTATAATGTACGTTGAGTCCCTGTAAGCAGAGAACAAAAATAACATTTAAAGTTAATTAAATATTTCTTCAGTAAAAGTATAAATATCAGCAATATCACAATCACTGTTCCTAGATTATTATTTCTCAGCAATATGTAATTTCAACCTAAGTAATATCATGAACCTTCAGGGTAACACTTTTTATGAAGCCCGTATTTATAACACATTATAAGGGTATTGTTAAGGCATTATGATGAATGTATAATGCATTATAAAAAAAAAGCTTATAATATGTTGTTTCATCTCATAAATAATCATAACAACAATTATAATACATTATAGAAGTTACTTATTTGTGGTTATAACTTTTATGAGTATGATTATTTATAACATGCAATGAACACCATTTTAAATCCACTTAATTTATAATGAATTTTAAGTCTCATATCTTGACATTATTTAATTAAGATCTGCACAGTATCTTACTGATATTACATTAAATATGATTAAAAGCAAATGTGCCATATAACACATTCATCTGATCAAATATCTAATCTTATGGCTGTTTAAAAATTCTTTTTTTAAATGTATTATTATTATTGTTGTTGTCTTTGGTATTATTACTTATAAGTGGTCTTTGTCTGCTAATGGCCAGATATGAGACTTATAATACATTATAACCATGGGAAATATAATCCATTGTAAATTAAGTGGATGCATTGTGTTCATTGTGTGTTATAAATCATCATACTCTTAAAAGCTATAACCACAAATAAGTAAATATTATAATGCATTAAAACTGTTGTTATGATTAATCATGAGATGATACGACATATTATACGTTTTTTTTATAATACATTATGCATTCATTATAATGCCTTAATGTATTATAAATACGGGCTTCATAGAAAGTGTTACCAAATTCAATTTTGAAAACTAAAATATAAGTTAGATTAGCTACAATAGATTTGGTTCTCTTAATCAATAAAGAGAAAATATTTTTTTTTGAGAAACATCAAATATTCTAAAACAATATAATATATATATATATATATATATATATATATATATATATATAAAAATGAATGTGTCTCTGTGGACAAAAACACTCAAAGGCAAACACTTCAGTGTGGTTTGGAGTACATTTTCATAAGTCTTATAAAATAAGGCAATCTCTCACCTCAGCCTAATAGCAGTGTCTCCAGCATTACTGCACCAGCACCAATTTGTCATCTGACAACTGTGTCACTTTTATAATGAATCCGTGTCCTATCCTTCTCTTGAGCAATATTGTGCATGACTGCACATGCTGTACTTCCACATAATACTTCCACAACTGTTTTTGTTTTCCTCATCAACAAGATCCCCTACTTTCACTTCTTGATTGTGTTCTTTTACTTTAGGAAAAAACTGATTCAAGAAACAAACTCAAAACTTTGGCCCTCTACATGATCTGATGTTAATTCAGTGCTGTTATCTGATGCTAAGACCAGGTAAGACAACATGTAGAAAGTCCCTGTAACCTGGAACATTTAAATAATAATTTAGCGACTATATTCCTACATTTACCTGTCTGCATTGTCTTAATACAATAAGTTTTCTTTTATCTCAATAAAATAATTTAGTGATCATTTTAAATCATTCCTCGCTTAGAAATGTTCCAGAAGTTTTTCTTCTTCTTTTTTCAACCAAACATGTTTACTTGTGAATATTGTTTTAATAGGTAAATATTTTATAGGGTTTCATGTACTCAATATCACTTCTTTTAATAGATAAAATAACAATACAAAATCACTGCTAGGGGGAGGAATGAACAACATTATAAGAATACATTAAAGAGTGCACACGATTGTCAAATATAAATAGCTTTTTGTTCCTTCAAAGGCAATATTGACTCAATATAATGCTTCACTTCAAATTCAAAAACTATAAAGCATGTTTTGTTTTTAGTTTTTTCCTCAAAATGTACATTTATGAATGAAATTTTGCAATTAAAATAAAAAAAATTGATGAAATAAACATGGGCTTGTTTATCTTTGGAGTTTACAAAAATACCTAAAAGAACATATTTTCACTGTAAAATTTAATTTACATCAACATTTTCAACAATAAAGTCAAGGACTTTTTATTTAGAAAAACTAAACTATCTGGTCTCTCCTTTTTTGACAAATGTTTTAATAACAGTTTTATAAGAAACTCCTTTAATGTTGGATCCAATCCTCCATGTAAATCAAAATGGCTTAACCTTCATTGTATATCTTGGCATTGCATTTGGATATTACCATATAAATGTTATTTCTAATAAAGTAAAATTATTCACAGATGTTATAATGTAAATGCAGCTGTTAGCAAATATATTCATAGTGTTTGTGATAAATGTACCTTTTGTAACATATATCAGTTGAAGATATTGAACATTTATTTTTCTATTGTCCTCTATTTCATTTTGGGTTGACTTCAAAATAGACATTATAAAAAAAATTAACAAAGCCCTTAATTAGAACCTCATGATATTTTACTTTGTTTTCAAAACCCAAATTTTTTCTGAAAAACAAAATTACATTATTAATCTGTTAATTATTTAGTGTTATATTCATAAGTCAAAAATAATTCAAAAGAAACCATTATATATTATATACACTACCGGTCAAAAGTTTGGGATCAGTAAGACTTGTAATGTTTTTTAAAGAAGTCTCTTATGCTCATCAAGGCTGCATTTATTGGATCAAAAATACAGAAAAAAAACAGAAATCTTGCTAAATGTTATTACAATATAAAATAATAGTTTCTATTTTAATACACTTTAAAATATAATTTATTTCTGTGATGCAAATCTGAATTTCAGCATCATTACTCTTCAGTGTCACATGATCCTTCAGAAATCATTCTAATATGCTGATTTATTATCAGTGCTGGAAACTGTTGTGCTGCTTTATATTTTTTTGGAACCTTTGATACTTTTTTCAGGATTCTTTGATGAATAAAAAGTTAAAAAGAAGAGCATTTATTTCAAATAGAAATATTTTCTAACATTATAAACTACAGTTCAAAAGTTTGGGGTCAGTACATTTTTATTCTTTCTTTTTTTTTTTTTTAAGAAATTAAAAATTTTATTCAGCAAGGATGTGTTAAATTGTTAAGAAGTGATAGCAAAGATTTATATTGTTAGAAAAGATTTATATTTTGAATAAATGCTGTTCTTTTTCACTTTTTATTCATCAAAGAATCCTGAAAAAGCATAGCAGTTTCCAAAAACATATTTGGCAGCACAACCGTTGCCAACATTGATAATTCTAATAATAAATCAGCATATTAGAATGATTTCTGAAGGATCATGTTACACTGAAGACTGAAGTAATGGCTGATGGAAATTCAGATTTGCATCACAGAAATAAATTATATTTTAAAGTATATTAAAATAGAAGCCATCAATTTATATTGTAATAACATTTTGCAAGATTACTGTCTATTCTGTATTTTTTATCCAATAAATGCAGCCTTGACGAGCATAAGAGACTTCTTTATCTTCAGTGTCACATGATCCTTCAGAAATCATTCTAATATGCTGATTTATTATCAGTGCTGGAAACTGTTGTGCTGCTTTATATTTTTTTGGAACCTTTGATGAAGGTTGATGAACCTTTGATTTTTCAGGATTCTTTGATGAATAAAAAGTTAAAAAGAAGAGCATTTATTTCAAATAGAAATATTTTCTAACATTATAAACTACAGTTCAAAAGTTTGGGGTCAGTACATTTTTATTCTTTCTTTTTTTTTTTTAAAGAAATTTAAACTTTTATTCAGCAAGGATGTGTTAAATTGTTAAGAAGTGATAGCAAAGATTTATATTGTTAGAAAAGATTTATATTTTGAATAAATGCTGTTCTTTTTCACTTTTTATTCATCGAAAAATCCTGAAAAAGTATCGCAGTTTCCAAAAACATATTTGGCAGCACAACCGTTGCCAACATTGATAATTCTAATAATAAATCAGCATATTAGAATGATTTCTGAAGGATCATGTTACACTGAAGACTGAAGTAATGGCTGATGGAAATTCAGATTTGCATCACAGAAATAAATTATATTTTAAAGTATATTAAAATAGAAGCCATCAATTTATATTGTAATAACATTTTGCAAGATTACTGTCTATTCTGTATTTTTTATCCAATAAATGCAGCCTTGATGAGCATAAGAGACTTCTTTAAAAAACATTACAAGTCTTACTGATCCCAAACTTTTGACCGGTAGTGTATATCTAATATGAGATCACAAAACAAGAAGCTTATAAAAACAATAACAATTCTAAAGCTTTTCAAATTTATGTAACTGCCCTAACATTATATAGCACATTTTTATCCTAGTATTTTTATATCCTAGTATGTTTATGTTCATTTTATGGTTTGTTGTTGTTTTTATTCTGTTTTACATGCTTTAAACAGTACAACATTGCCTTATACTTGCCTTGTAATTTTTGCCTTGTACTTACAAGTGCTGAAACTAAAAAAAAAAACACTTAACTACCCACTTCCTCTGGTTCTCAGTTACATCACCCTCCAGGAATTGACCATTTTAGTGAGAAGGCAACAGCACAAATATCTGTAGGTGTGGATTTAATGAATTCTGTGATGTTGTGTGATTTTGATTTATTTATCTCATTCATTCATTCAAACATGTAAAATTATTAAAAGATTATCAAAAGATAACTTTTATTTTCTCACTGACTGAGCAACGGCTAACTTGAGCTCTTTATTTCCATCCTGTTAGGCTGAGTTCATCCTGTTTGGCATCCTATAAATTTCATTCCATTGTGTTGTGTAATTAGTTTCAGTTTAAGCGATGACTCATCTGAACACCTCTGATTGGTCATTGTATTCATCAGCTCAACAGCATCGTGTGTGATTGGTTAATGCGCAGTGCTGTAAAAACGCGTCTATGAACGCAGATTTGAATTTAGCAGCTGATGATATGACACACTGAACGTTATAATCACGCTGGTGTGATTGTATTAAATATAGAAAATATGAATAGGCTATTTTTTGTCTTTTGGAAGCTGCATTCAAAATCCACTTGGCTCAAAAATCTGAGGGGGCACATGCCCCCTCACTTTGAATGGGCATGATGCCTCTGGTCAGACCAGTCAGCATACATTTACATCTTCTCGCCCATACACATACTCTTTTCACCTTTTAGTAAAAACAAACAAACTAAAACATACAGGTAAATGTACCTTTAAACCTTTCAAAGATGCATGGAACACATCAGATACTCCCCTATATATATTGAACTATACCTAAGTACATGTTTATGGTGTACCTGAGTCTAGATAATCATCACCATCTAAGATTATGTGAATGAAATCACTGAATAATTTGTCAGATGATTCAAACTCTTAACTCTTTGATCTTTCTGAAACACTATTGCAATAACTACCCCTAAAGGGTCATGAAACCCCATTACAGCAGGGATTAGTTCTCACCACAGTTTTTGAATATGCTGCAAGTGGGTGTGGTGTGGTGTGCTGTGGAGTGGAGGGGGAAGAGGGGAGACAGCCAACACAACAGTGCTTTCTGATATAAACTTTATTCTGCTCTCATTGAGTTAAAAGCATCAATGTTTCCCACAAACCTTCCCATGCTGTGTTGGAAAATTAGGGTACATGGAAGAGAATTTATGCCACACAGAAACTCTTACAAAGAGTAAACACTTATTTTCTGTCCATAAACATCTCTCACTTACTATAAGCAATCTCACAGTTTGAAGCGTCTGTCATCAACACATGCTCTCATGAATACTCTTACCTGGGCTAAGGAGAAGAAGAACTGGACTGTTGCCCAGTGGTCCAAAGTCCTCTTTTCAGATGAGAGCAAGTTTTGTATTTCATTTGGAAACCAAGGTCCTAGAGTCTGGAGGAAGGGTGGAGAAGCTCATAGCCCAAGTTGCTTGAAGTCCAGTGTTAAGTTTCCACAGTCTGTGATGATTTGGGGTGCAATGTCATCTGCTGGTGTTGGTCCATTGTGTTTTTTTGAAAACCAACGTCACTGCACCCGTTTACCAAGAAATTTTGGAGCACTTCATGCGTCCTTCTGCTGACCAGCTTTTTGAAGATGCTGATTTCATTTTCCAGCAGGATTTGATAACTCCAAAAGTTAAAATTAATTGATGGCAACATCATCTTCTATGATGTGCAACACACTGTAAGACCACTTTGATTTCCTTGTGA